GGAAGAGCGATCGATTTGGGAGGGCGCTGTTTTGTCGCGTTGAAGAAGGCTCTGCGAAAGGTTGGTGTGACGGGGACTGAAGTATTTCTGTGTTTCGGAGTTGATGTGAGCGAGAAGAGGGGAAGTAGAGGAAACGATCATGGATCGGGCGGCGTTGACCGTTGGGCCGGCGATGGATATGCCGATAATGCATGACAGCGACCGTTACGAGCTGGTGAGGGATATTGGTGCCGGAAACTTCGGGATCGCGAGGCTAATGCGGGATAGGCAGACCATGGAGCTGGTGGCGGTGAAGTACATAGAGAGGGGCGAGAAGGTTGGTTGGTTAGTCGATTGATTAGTTCGAAGATTTTTATGGATCCTGTTGCTGTTTTCGTTATTGATATTATGATTTTTGTATCTGTTGCTTTTTTAGTTGTCGTCGTACTTCGGCTTTATGGAGTTTATTGTTTGGATTTTGTTTCGATTGAGACTTCTAGCCATGTGCTTTGCTGTAAAAAACTGGGTATTTATTCGACTTTATTTTGGTGTTAGTTATTGGGTAAATAAATTACTTTGATTTCTATGGATGGCATGCTGGACTTTCCGAGAAAGTTGAATCGGCTGAATCATTGAGGAGCTTTTCTAACTTTCTATCGCTTTTTCTTGATGGTAAATCTAGTTTTGGAAATCTGAAATAATTGGTTCCTTTTTTCTTTTTGAAAATCCTGTCTTTCCTACCATCGATGGACAAGTGCACGGGCTTGTAATTGTAAATATTTATTTTCTATGTTGTCTTTATGTCGTTTAGTGTGTTCTCCCTCAATTTAATTGTTAGACAAGGCTTATTGAATGTCTTCACCACCTAATTCGGCCATCTGGTATTACTTTGCCTCTTTTGATTGTGCAGATAGATGAAAATGTTAGAAGGGAAATCATTAATCACAGGTCTCTGCGGCACCCAAACATTGTTAGGTTTAAAGAGGTGCGCCTGACAGTTCTTATCACACCTTCTACGGAAGAACTTAATGATTTCTGTTATCTTGTTCTTCTGAGGGAACCATTATACAGGTTATCTTGACTCCAACCCATCTGGCTATTGTCATGGAATATGCTTCTGGCGGGGAACTTTTTGAGCGCATTTGCAATGCTGGACGCTTCAGTGAGGACGAGGTTTCTATGTTACTGGATTCATGGTTACTTAGTTCTTTAGGAAATGTATATTGATACTTTATTATTCTTGTAGGCTCGTTTCTTCTTTCAACAGCTCATATCTGGAGTCAGCTATTGTCACTCCATGGTATTTCACTTAGTTCTTTTTCGTTTGTTTTTGTAAGCTAAATCTGAGAAAAATTCACTATGCCTTTTGTTTTAAACTCTTGTCAAGCAAGTGTGCCACCGGGATCTAAAATTAGAGAATACCCTTTTAGATGGGAGTGCTGCTCCACGGTTAAAAATATGCGATTTTGGCTACTCTAAGGTATGCACTTGTTTGTATAGTAATTGACTAATTACTGATTTTTTGATTTGTGAGCAATAGAAGTTTTATTATCATCACCTTCGTCAGATGCATCCCAGCTATTTGGGATCAGTTTTGGATTCCTTATTTTTCATTCATTCATTCTCATAATCATCCATCCCAAGTTTGATTCTGATTATAAGTGAGAATCTTTTCTCATGAATTGAAAAAAAAAGCATTTGCTTCTTTCCTTTTGTAAAACTAATTTCTTTCAGAATTATTAATTTATGCATGTGTTGTTCTAGTGGAAGAAGAATACAGAGTTCTCCCACAGCATTAATAATGATTTCAGTATGAAATTTAATTTCTTTTGCTACAAATTGATGTTCTTATTTGTTTTCTCCTTTTCTACTTGGATGATGCTTGTTAACATGGTAGTATTAAAACATGTTTTTTCAGTCTGCAGTATTACATTCTCAACCAAAGTCCACTGTTGGAACTCCTGCATATATTGCTCCTGAAATTTTACTCAAGAAGGAATATGATGGCAAGGTATGCCTTTTTTCTCCTAAATAGAGACCTACTGTTGTTCCTATCAGTTTAGTGATGTAATGTGGAATTAAAAGTTAAGAATTATTGATTTATTTTGTGCTTGCAATTAATTGGAGAAGCAGAAGAAACGAAGTGCAAATGGACAACAGTAAAAAGAGTTGTGAGAGCTTTTTTTAATTAAAGAAATTAAGAGAGACTGCATATTGTTTTTGGGGGGGCGGGGGG